AAAAAAAAAAAAAAAAAAAAAAAAGATAAATACCAAAACAAAATGGTATATAAAAAATACAAAATAAATTATGTGGGTCAGGTGCAGTGGCTCACACCTGTAATCCCAGCACTTTGGGAGGCCAAAGCAAGTAGATCACTTGATCCCAGGAGTTTGAGAACAGGCAATATAGCAAAACTCCATCTCTACAAAAAATAAAGAAATTAGCCAGGCGTGGTGGCATGGCCCATAGTCCCAGCTACTTGGGAGGCTGAGGGGGAAAATTACCTGAGCCTGGGAGGGCAAGGCTGCGGCAAGCTGTGATTACATCACTGCACTCTGGCCTGAGCAATAGAGTGAGACCCTGTCTCAAAAAATTAAATAAAAATAAAAAAATAAAGAGGGCTAGGCACAGTAACTCATGCCTGTAATCCTAGCACTTTGGAAGGCCAAGGTGGGTGGATCACTTGAGGTCAGGAGTTCAAGACCAGCCTGGCCAACATGGTGAAACCCCCATCTCTACTAAAAATACAAAATTAACCATGCGTGGTGGCACATGCCTGTAATCCCAGCCACTTGGGAGGCTGAGGCAGGAGAATCACTTGAACCTAGGAGGCAGAGGTTGTGGTGAGCCAGGATCGCACCATTGCTCTCCAGCCTGGGCAACAAGAGCAAAACTCTGTCTCGGAAAATAATAAATAAATAAATAAAATATGCCACCACATGATGTGGTGAAAGGCACGGGCTTCAAAGTTGGGAGATCTGGATTCTATCCTAATTCTAATACTCATCAGGCATATGACCTTGAAGAAGTCACCTAACACCAGGGGTCTGGAGACTACTGCCTGCAGGTCAAATCCTGCTCCACCATTTTCAATAAAGACTATTGAACTACAATCATGCTTATTTGTCTATGTGTTATGTTTGGCTGCTTTGGGTTACAATGGCCAACTTGGGTAGTTGCAATAGAGGCATAAGGCTTACAAACCCCAAAATATTTACTGTCTGGCCCTTGCCGACTCACTCTATTTCTTCATCTTTAAAGTGGGACTAATTTTGCCCTGTCACTTGTCACAAAATTTGTCATGGGAATTGAATAGAATAAAATATGAAGATAAGGCCGGGCGCGGTGGCTCAAGCCTGTAATCCCAGCACTTTGGGAGGCC